GCAGACATGCATGTAACGTTGTCTGTACGGACCACAATTTTCCTGTTCTGAAACGGGAGCCGCCAGCGTTCAAGGGCTAGTACCACTGCAACAAGTTCTTTCACGTTAATATGCTCGTCAACCACCTTAGGCACATCCATGTTCCAGTTCCAATAAGCAAAGTCTCCTTCCACGTAAGCACCTGCAACGGTGTCACACCGCGTCAGTATATAGATGCATAGAGGGTGTAACTGGGGCAAAACTAACAGTTCCATTAAAAGCGCACATAATATGTGCAAATATGTGCTGCCCAGCACAGCTTGCTGACGAGTGTTTCCAGTTGTCTTCTGCTGACTCTAGTCTTTACTTGAAACTCGCGCAGTTTTGTCAAAAACTCTTCACATTTCCTTCCAGGTAGTGAAAACATCAGCAGCAATTTGTTGATTTCTATTCCCAAGAACACTATACTTTGACTGGGACCGTCAACTTAACCCCAGTTGATGTCGAAGCCCAAGTAACGTAGCACATCCACTAACACATGAATAGCCTTAACACACTGCCCCTTGTTTCTGGAAATGATGAACAAATCATCAAGGTATGCAATTACACATATACTGAACCGACACCACATAATTGCACACACAGCTCTGGACAAGCACTGGAAAATACTGGATGGCGTGTATCTACCATATAAGACGCACATGTCTCTCCTTCAAAAGTCCAACTCACACCAGTCAAATCATAATTTGAAGGATGAACTGCTACAGATCTGTATGCATTTTTAAGGTCTATCTGTGCAAGAAAGTCAAGCCCGCTGTATATGCTGCTTTGCCACATGCAAATCCATATATGAACACTCACACTCTGTCATATACACATTTAGTTCCTTACCCTCTGGAAGGCTTGCATCATGTATGACTAATTTTGTTCACGTCCTTAGGCACCGCACGGAGGGCACTCACAATTTTGGGGCGATGCAAAACCAATTTATAGTGACCTGCCAACAGTTCAATTTTTAGCTGCTCTTCGACAAGAGAGATGTTGACAATCGCAGATCTGTGATTTTAGCAGAACACAGTTTCAACTGTACCAACAATATCCTGCTCAACTAAATAGAAACCCTCTTTTACCCCATTCAAAATATATTGCCTGTCTTTATAGTCCTCCGGCAACAGGCAGACCCATGCGTTGAAGTTTAAACTATTATGAGTAGGGTATGTAGAGTTCTTCAGTTTTTTGTTGCAGGCATGGTGTGCATACTCGGAGCCATACCCTGGCTATACCCAGTTAGTTGAACTGTTAGTTGAACAAACAAGAGTCATCAGAAGATGACAAATCCCCCCAGCCCCCACATATCTGAAAGAACAAGTCATCTCACAGTTTCTTAAAGTCCAATTTCATTTCCATGGGAATCATGAAAAACATAAATGCCAAAAATCTGTAAATTGCAAAAGGCATCACTTCAAGATCTGTTCAATATATCTACCAAGTCTTGAAGAAAGATATTGAACAGTTTTCGAGTTGTGCTCCGGAAACGAAACCCATCCATCCTCTGGAGCTAGTCCGAATCATTTCCATGGAAACCAGAAAAAGTAAAAGTAGGAACAAGTACATGTATTGTTAGTAATTGTTAATAAACTTACCTCTGGATTATGGGTGCCAGTTTCCTGTGGTATCACAGAGACATACAGAAATGAAAGAGAACAAAATTTCCCTTTAAAAAAACTAAGTCATAGCTATCCCTAGTGGTATGCCTAAAGAGTATGCAGTTATTTCCCCTAGCTGTGATATCACAGCATTGATCTCCCGAAGCCCTCATAATTTTTTCACAAAAAAACTCTCCTCATACACTTCGCGGATACAGGAGGGACCTATATCCCATAATCCAGATGTAAGTTTACTGACAATTACTAACAAAACATGTAATTGTTCCTAATTATGTCGTAAACGTTCCCTCTGGATTATGGTTGCCAGAATCCCACATATGGAAGGAGATTCCTGTGGATGAAAGGAGATCAGGGATACCATTAACTTATTGGAATACTTCCCTACTAGGATAACTATGACTTAGATAACTTCATGTCCCATGATGCCCACCACCATAATCCTAACAGATGGTTAATTGTAAGTCTTGAACTAAGGACAGGAAGTTAATGTGAGGGAGAATTCCTAACTCACTAGGAGAGTCTGGTAGATCCCCCTTTTCTTAAGGAGAATAAATATGCAAAGACCTCTGATCCATCTTCCCTGAATCAAATGACGTCACTTCCGGTTCCATGACGTTATTATCTTATCAAGTACTTAACTATCACCACCGGTTTCTTGACATCACTTCCGGTATTATGACGTCGCTTCCGGCTGATGACGTCACTTCCGGTTACACGATGTCACTTCCGGTCTTTGCACAATCTCCTTAATCATAATATCGTGCTTTTAGAAAGGCGTAAATACACAACTCCCATAAACGCCCTAATGATGGATCTAGCGTCACTCCTACAATCACGTGACCTTGTGAACCCCATCACCTAGCACGGGGATACCAATCCCACTAACTTAGTGCTCATAGTTAGTAGAGAGGTTCATCTAAACCCTCACTGTTCAAAGGTCTTCGTGTAGTGCCACTGTGAATCTCCCCTCGCTGATTGATCAAGTCCCATGTACTCCGAAGTCTGGACGTATGCAGCTCTGATCCCTGTGGAAGGCTCACTTCTAACTCCTGTACCCATGTACCCAATGTTTTGCTTGCAGGGAAGGAAAAGCCGACGATGATTACACCTGAATTGCAGAGTCTGTTGAATGTACAAGGCACAAATTGGACACAGCAATCTTGGTCTGTTGGATCTAGAGGAAGGGGTAGGCAAGGCAGGAATCTTGTACCTTTTAGGCCCTAATGGTCCACAAGAAGATGACTGATTCTTAGCCACAAATTCTGGTAAAGTTCTGCAAGTCCTGAAATGATAGCCTTCCGCGAAAGTTACCGATTTAAAATCTACTGTTTCTCTCTTTGCAGTCCTCCCTCATAACAAATAGTGAACTGTGTCAAAATTTTAATGATAGTTTGTTGAACAACTTTCTTATTTTTAGGACATAAATTCTGAAAAAAAATCACAGAGTTGGTCTGATGTTTTGATTAAAATCAGTGTTTAATTGGGTATTATATGTTTATTAGTTTTCTAGTTAGATCGCAATTCATCGGTCCGCTTTTGAGCCAAACAGACTATAGTAGAAACTGTGTCTTAAATGATAAGAATTTCAACAACGTGGATTGCATAGGTTCGAAAGGAGCCCTCTGGAGGCACTGCAGAACTAGGCATAAGTCCCATTTTGGAAATATAGGTCTTGTTACATCCTTGAGTTGAAAAGATCTGATCAATTTATGGAGAGATGAATTGGTTCCTACTGTCAATCCCTGAATATCACAAACTGATGCAATAGACGATCTAAAACCCTCTATAGTATTATGTTTCAGATTCTTAACATCTCTCGGATGCAGGAGCAAATCTGGTATGATGGGGATAGATACTGGAGATTCAAAGAGTCCTCTGTCTCTTCTCCACTGGACAAATCGATTCCACTTGGCCTTGTAAAGGGAAGCTGTAGATGGTCTAATTGCATGTGTGATTGCCAATGAAGATTTTTCATCAAATCCCTGCTGTCTGAGTGTTTTGCAGATAACCTCCACACGTAAAGAGACAGACTCTGAAGATTCTTGTAAACTTGAGTGGATCCTGGTTGATACAGGAGATTGTCCCATTCCAGCAGACGCAGAGGTGCATGCTTGAGGAGCTGAAGAAGAGTGAGGAACCAAGCTCGCGCAGGCCAGGGAGGAGCCACTAGGTAGACTACGTAACTGTGAATAATTATCTTGGATAGAACTTCCTGTAACATCTTGAATGGCGGGAACACGTACGCGATCATATTGTCCCAAGGGATAGACATGGCGTCCACTGCCCACGCTAGCGGATCTGGAACCAGACTGACAGAAGTGGGGAGGCAATTGTTCCTGCACATCGCACATAGATGTATAGCCAGGGACTCCCATCTCTGTCCGATCACCCTGAAGGCCTCCTTGTGTAGAGTCCATTCTGTGGAAATGACCCTGTCCTCCCTTGACAAAGAATCCGCCAGTATGTTGAAACGTCCTGGAATATTATGTGCCCCTAGATAGCATTTCGTGAGATCGGCGATCACAAACAGCTGCTGAATGGTCTGTAAGAGATGTCATTACCTGGTTCCTCCCTGCTTGTTTACATAAGTTACAACAGTAGAATTGTCTGTGGCCAACATTATGCTCTTCCTGTGAAGAATCGAACTCCAATGAGATAATGCCTTTACTAATGCCAACATCTCCAGAACATTGATGTGATATGTGCTCTCCTCTAACGTCCAATTGTCCTGGACTTGAAATTGATCCATGTGTGCTCCCCCTTCCTAAATCATCAGATCCTGAGGAGGTGGCTGAAACGGAGCTCCCGTAAGAACATTTGATTCCCGAGTCCACCAAAGAAGTTCTGTCTTTACGTGGTCCAGGCAAACAATCCTCAAATCTACGATATGCCAGACCTGGGTCTCTCGCAGATGGATCCTGCCCCGCAGAGTGAAATCTTGGATAGATGTCAAGGTACCTAACAGAGACATCCAACTCCTGACTGACACCTGCTATACTTTTATGGCCTGATAGATCCTGTTCTGTAATTTCTCCCAGCAATCCTGCAGAGGAAATATATGACATGTTCTCGCATCCAGAACCGCTACCAGGAATTTTATACGAGGCGATGGAATCAATTCCGATTTCTCTGGGTGAACAATGAGTCTCAAATGAGTGAATACGTGCACCATGAACTTGGTCTGTCCTACAAGCTTGTTGGTGATTACATTCATGGCTAAAAAATCATCCAGATATCAGTGAATGGCTATGCATCTGTGATTAAGAAAAGCTAGGATGGGAGTAACTATCGTGGTGAACAGCCAGGGCGCAAGAGATATCCCTAACGTTAGAACTCTGAACTAATATCTGCGACCGTTGACTTCGAACCTCAGGTATCTCTGCGATTGCAGATTATACGCACATGCAGGCAAGCGTCCTTCAAGTCTAGACTTACAAATTTGGCGTCTGGTTGAATGTGGCTGTTCAGATTGGCTAACGATTCCGTCCTCTACTTGGGTGATTTCTGGAGAAAGTTCTTGTTGAGAATCTTTAGATCGATTATCATACACATCTCTTCCGTGTCTCTCTTGGGGACTAGAAAAACGGGAGAGTAGAACCCCTCTGACCTAGCCCCCCTACCCCTACCTCTAGAGTTAGCAGAGGACCCCCTGCTAGAAGGAGCGGCCAAACGAGGTCTAGAGTCCAAGGCTCTATCAAAAGCCGAGCGTGGTAGCGGAGCCTTCCAATTCAAGGATTGATCCAGAAGAAGCTTGCATCCCGTCTCTCCTGCCCCTAGGAGAACTTCTGCTCCGATTTTGAGCCAGGAGGGCCGAAGCCAGACACTGATTCCGATTCCTAGTAGTAGTGGCATCCTTAGCCTCAACTGCCTGCTGACACTGACTGTTGTAAGTCGCCTCTGAACTCAAAGGTTGTTGAAACATCAGTTCCTTAGTGGATTCAGGTAAATTCCTAACAGAGTTCAACTTGTGCATTCTATCCATGGCTGTGAGTCTGCCCAAGGAAAAAACTTGATTCTAGGTAGACAGCCAGAGTATCCTTCTTAATGTCCATATCATCCTTAAACACCGGAGGAAGCAGAGCCCGTACTACTACCGCGAACCAATTAGCGTAAGAGAAGATGTCAATGGATGACTGTGCAGCCGTGTCCAACTCCTTAAACTCCCCGGGGATACATGGTAACAGATTGTCTTTCGGATTCCTGGTGTCAAGCAGACTAAAGTCCTTATCCAGATATGGTGAACTAGCTGGCAAGTCAATATTATGAATGGTGTAAGCCGCCCTCTGAGGAACCTTAGGAAGATTCCCCAAGGAAGTTGATTTAGCCAATAACTCATTATAATTATCCAAGGCTAATTTCACTACTGATGAATGAGGTAAGGACAGTTTGGGGTATGCTCCAGAGGTAAACAACCGAAAGAACCCAATTCAATGGGTATCTCAATTTCCGTATTCACTGACGGCGGAGGCAAGGTACTCGGATATAGTCCATATAAAAATTCCATTTTCTCCTTTAATGTCCATCCCAGAGCATAATCTTCTGCAGCTGTGTCTATGGATAGTACACTGATAAATCCTTCCTTCATAACCAGCTCCGGGTTAGATACAGGGTAGGCCGTATGCCCATCCGAGTCCGACAAGTCCGGGAATAATGGCAAATCAGTGGATTGTCTGTGTCTATTTGGTCCCAGCTAGCCGTAGCTCCGACTCCCGCTGCATTCCCTGCAAGGCAAGCAGCCCTCCGCTGAGAGTCAGCCGTGAAGCCTGTGCTATCTAGTGGTTGGTGAGGGTCCATGCCGGTATCCTGAGCCCGGTTAACGGAATCAACCCCAAGCCGCACGGGTGACACTGACCCACCAGAGCGTGAAACGATAGCCGGCTCTGCGGGCAATTCGGATTGGGTACTAGTCCCCAAGGATACACTGCATGGGACAGTGTCCCTCCCACACGAAGCCTTAGTGTCTCCCGTCGTGGGGATTGGCAACCCAGCTTCAGGACAGTGGTGATACTCAACCAAACCGAGTAGAGCACCACGCCGCAGTACGGGGGGAATGACTGTTGACCTAGGGACCTGGACTGACGGACTGAGTTTAGTTTTACGCCGCTTTTAGCAATATTCCAGCAATATCATGGCGGGGGACACCAGAGATGGGCTTAACACATTGTGCCCATGTGGGGAATTGAACCCGGGTCTTCGGCGTGACGAGCCAACGCTTTAACCACTAGGCTACCCCACCGCCCCCTAGGGACCTGGAACGCCCATCGTCATTATAGTCATTCATAGAAGGAGCCCTTGGAGTTAAAGATTCAGAAAAATCCATCTGCCTCTGAAAGTCTGATATTCTCTCATTGTTGCAACAAGATGTTGCATAGACGCCAGAATCTCTGATTTAAAAGATGACAAGAGAGCCGTAACGGCCGACATGTCCACTTGACTAGATGAAGAAGATTTAGTTTTATGACCTAGGTCTGGGCTCTGATTTAACCGACGCTGGCTGAGGTTGAGAGACAGATTTCTTATTCTTAGATGAATCAGATGAACCCAATAATTTTCTCTTCCCAGGATTATTCCATAACGAACCACTCTTCTTTCGATAACCCTGAACAAAGTAGGCAACATTTTCCCCAGGAACAAGGAGATCCCACAAAACACAATGCACATAGAGAATGAGGGTCCGAATCCGCCATGAATCTCTGGCATTGTAGGCACTTATTCTGCAACATGATGAGTGTAATGGCAGGAATTTTCAAAGTCTCCCCAAAAAATCTAATTTTCACAAAAACACTTCAATAATGAATGCGATGGTCAAACAACAACCAATGCGATTCCACTATCCAATTCCGTTGAAAATGATCACTTGTGAAGACTTTTCAATGACAAATGTCTTCCACTTCTATGAAAACATCTGAACGTGATCCCATACAGAAAAAATTATGAGGGCTAGGGGAGAACAATGCTGTGACATCACAGCTGGGGGAGATAACTGCGTACTCTTTAGGCATACCACTAGGGATAGCTAGGACTTCGTTTTTTTAAAGAGAAATTTTATTCTCTTTCATTTCTGTATGTCTCTGTGATACCACAGGAAACTGGCAACCATAATCCAGAGGGAACGTTTATGACATAATTGACAAAAAATCTGTACATAGCAAAAGGAACCACTTCAGGATCTGCCTCATATATCAGCGAAATTCTGTTGAAAGATATTGGAACGGTTTTCGAGTTGTGGTCCGGAAATGAAACCCACTCTTCCCTTTTCTCCAAATCATTTCCATTGAAACTGAGAAAAAAATATGTAAATAGCAAAAGGCACCACTTTAGGTTCTGTTTGATATATCTACCAATTTTCGTTGAAAAGTATCGAACGGACGGACAGACACACTGGAAAAAAAATCCACATTTACAAGCTTGGAAATGTCTTGGAAAGATGATGTTTCCAAGACATTTCCAATTTTGGAAAGATGATGTTTCCAAAAATTTCCAATTTTGGAAATATGAGATTGGCGGTAGTCTTTGATGTTTGGTGTTGTTTTAGTAATGATTGTTTAAGGGATTAACGAAAGGATTATCGACTTGACTAGTTGAAATTGCAGTGGTGAACACATTTTAAATGTTCAATGTTTTGGGTGAAAAGTGAATTTTGTCAAGTTTAGTTTAAGTATGTGTCATCGTAAGCTTATATCTATTGAGTGAGAGTTAATTTCGTACAAGGGCCACCGACCTGTTATACAATTATAAAGATGACAATACAATCCAGCGCCATATATAATATTAAGCTGTATGCTAACATGTACAATGTGTCATTTAATCTTATACTCTATATTCAAAAACTTCGCTCTTTTTGTCAATGCAAGAAATATAAACTTAGCAAGGTTGTTAACAGTTGTAGAATTGCAAGACAATAATAAGTCGATAAATTTAGTTTCACATGGATTATTTATGTAGTATTGTGGGAGCAGGCTGTTTCTCAGATCACAGTAAAATGAACATTCAATAAAGAATTGGTACTCTGATTCAATGGTAAGTACAATACACAGAGGGCAGAATCGCTCATGTTGTTTTATATTTACTTTTCGCCCATATTCTAACATTAAAGGATGGTCTGAACAACGAAACTTACTGAAAGCAAAACGAATCGTTGCGTTGCCCTCCTAGGGGGTCGAGTGATAGTGTCACCATGCACTAATTTCCACCGGACCCCGTAGTTCGTGCTAAATGGGTTATGTTTGTGAGTGTGAAGCGAGCGTTGTGGAAGCTTGGAATGATATCTTAAATGTGTTCAGATCGCTTCGCGGAAGTTAAAGAATCAAAACTACTTACTAGTTGTAGTACAATATATATATGATTGATGACCAAAAAGATTTTCCATGACACAACTTGAAGCATAACGATTTCTTTCTCAGAAGCGAGGTTGTGGTGGAAGTGACAATAATATTGTAAGTAGTGTTATATTGACACTCACCTCGCTTCCACGAGAGAAATTGTTTTGTTATAATATATGTCATGCAAAATCCTATTGGACATCAATCAAATACATATTTTAGTACCAGTAGAAAGTAGTTTTGATTTTGTAACTCGGTGAAAACAAACCTAAATAGCATTTATTCTCAGACTGGCGGATGTTCGCGACAGGGCGCTGCCATTTCTCATAATTGTAACATCACGGGCTCAAGTCTGTTAAAGAATTAATGAGAATATGGTTTGTTTTCATCAAGTTAGAAAATCAAAACTACTTTCTACTCGTAGTTAAATATGTATTTGAGTCATGGCCAACAGGATTTGGCATGACACAACTTGTAACATAACGATTTCGTCCTCGGAAGCGAGATGGGGGTCGAAGTGACATACTGCGCGATGAATTTCTTGCTACATTCACGTGGTTAACGTCCACTCACCAGTATGTAGATACTAGTCAACGTGCGTCTTTATATTTGGTCTTATAATCCTAATTAGTTTATTATCATACTTGTATGCATTTTGAAACTAAATAAAAATCAGGCGATCTGCCTATACTTATAACTTGAATATCTAGAAATTTTATAGTTTGCCAATGTAAATCATAATTACGCTGCACCTCTAGTGTATGTTGTCTGTCTCATTACTTCACGATGAAACAATGATTCTGTTGAATGCTACGACAAATGAATAAAAACAAAATGCAATTATTAAAATTAAAACTGATTAGAGTTATAAGAACAATGTCAGGCTATTACTTTGTTCGAGGAATGTATCCATCAATATCCACAAAAACGAGTGATATGCCATTCACCTGCAGCTGTTCCAAATGATGAGTCTTTCAACAGTCTAATACATGTTTACGAAAAGTGATATATCATTTCAGGTATTTCACATTGGTATATAGTCTCATTGGTCACCCAAGATAGCATACCTGGGAACTAATTGCATAATGTCCGCCATTCTTTACTAAAGTAATTTAGTTAGCCAATAATGAGCAATCAATCAACGTCTTGGCGGTTAATCCTTTCAAAGAAGGAGGTTGTTTTACGCAGACACAGACCCGACACAGTGTATTCAGTATAGATTAGTAAATCTACATACATAAACACTACCTTTTGACAAATTAATCAATTATGATCAGTCATTATACCATCCAGGCATTAGAAAACCTGCAAAAGCCCACACTGCTTTGATACTTTAATACAATCAGACAAGAACTACCGGGGAAATTTTCAAATTTATCAAATCTGATGGGCATCCACCCTTCCTAATGTCGCACTGTTTAGGTTGAAGAAATTAACCGTAACCGAGATGAGCGAGGCTGATCATAGTTTTCACTATCACTAGCGGCTGGCTCGAACAAATAAAGGCCCAGCGACACTAGGCAATTACGACAGAATCGTCCATGAAAACAAGTTGTAACTCGGAAGGGGAGCAGGACAAAAGCCACCCGGACAAAAACCACCCGGACAAATGCCACCCAGTTATTTTGCCATTACAGAGAGGACAATTACCACCCATACTGATTTTAATGTTGATTTTGTTGTAAAATTATGTAGACTTTGATGAATAATTTGGTTTCTTAAAAAAATATATTCCCTTTGATAAAAAAGTTGATTTTCATGTAAAATTTTGATTTCATAGTAATGTTGACTTTTTAAAAATGTTATTGTGTTGGTGGTTTTTATTTTTATTTTGGTGGCATTTGTCCAGGTGGCTTTTGTCCGGGTGGCATTTGTCCTAGGCCCACTCGGAGGCTAGGCAAAGCAGGTGACAACATTAAATGACAGCAGAATGTGAGAACATATAGCTTTCATTTTTCACAACGATTTCTGTTCCTGCTGAGCTGTAGGCTCGTTCGATATCTCGCGATGTCATTATTGCGATAATGCACCGAGGAGATCATCAAAGGAGTGGATTGCTTAAAGGTCACATGCAACCAAAATAATTACAACACAGTTATCACTTATTTATGACATATAATATACATTGCTGATTATGAAAAAACATATAAACAAAATTAAAAGCGTACAATCGCAAATCAAAAGTGCAATATTTTGGGAAGGCTAAAATTTATTTTTCAGATGTCCCGGGAAGGGTAAAATGTATATTTCGGATTTCTTGGGAGAGCTAATTAGGGGAGTACCGCCAAAGCTAAAGAAACGGTGCCGGGAAGCATAATCCATGACGGGAGTAGATACATTTCTTTTCAAAACATTGTTATAATAGAGTATTTATCAGAACAGAATAGAACATAGACTTTATTAAGACTTGAACCAGTCTTCTATTCGATTAAGATTTAAAGATAAACAATGGACACATATTATTTCTTCCCTTGGTACATTATGGCATCTTCCAACTTCAATATGTAGCAGGCATCTTTATCTTCTTCGCTTGTTTAGACCTGTTTAAGTGGCGTTTTTATTTCAGATGTATTTAATTCGAAAAACATAGCTATAATATTTAAGTTGCAAACTGACACCGAACTATCATACACATATTCGTGATGGCAGGTGCCCAGGTTAGAGTTAACTTATTCCTGAAGGGCCTTGTGGCCAACAACATCATCGGGGACATCGCTTACACAGACCACGTGTCTGAACTTCTCAAATTGTCTTAAGCTCGACGTAGATTGACAGAAATGTAATTTGCTATGGATAATGACAATTTAATGTCAAACTCAAAAAAAAGTATACTGAAAATGAAAACATGTAATTTGTCAGAGCCTCCAAGTGAGGCGCCCCGTGTTCATTTAACCATAACATTGCATTGCAAGTACCGCGAAGGCTATGCCCATTGAACCGAGAAGCGTCACGATTTTAGCCTTGCCGGCAATGAACCGTAAATACATGCTCATTTTCTTGTGTATAACAATTTGCAATCAACAGACATCATAATATGTCATGTGTACAAGTATCACACCTGCCTGTCTGTGTAATTACAGAATGTAACAGAGACCGAACTCGGGCCATAAATCAATGCGTTTTGTTTATGGTGTATAGCCTGATAGGTGTTAAGTTCAAATTGCATGTGGTCAGTGATCGCAGTTGTGTATTGAATATTGTCATTAGCAGACAGGCAGGCAGACACATAGGTGTCAATAAAACAGACACTGAGTTTTGTCTGTGACAATGACATATCTGTGTCACAGTTAGATATTCTGTCAACACTAAATAATGACATTGCTTTTAAGTATCGAACTGACTGACTGACTGACTGAGTTTGGTTTTACGCCGCTTTTAGCAATTTTCCAGCAACATCACGGCGGGGGACACCAGAAATGGGCTTAACACATTGTGCCCATGTGGGGATTCGAACCCGGGTCTTCGGCGTGACGAGCCAACGCTTTAACCATTAGGCTACCCCACCGCCCCAAGTATCGAACTGAGAAAGTGACTCGGTAAGAAGAACGTGTGGTGAAATAGACAAATGAAATTATACAAACAGTTAAATCGATAATCTACTGGTATAACATATAAAAAGCTCACGCCTGTGAAATATCAACAAAACATTAAAAACAATTAGCTCACACCAAAGCCTTCACAGAGTATTCACCGGACAACCCGCTGCGCGAACCTATTTCACTGCGCATGTGCTATGAGCGCAGCCCAGCTGTTGAAACTCCGATTTCGCGGGGTGTTTTTTATCGCGTTATTTTTCAACTTTATAAGTTGAATTTGCATTTTTGATGATTTGTTTCGGTAAGTCCATACCGAAAGCTATCAGAATCTGCAAAATTGTGCTTTACGTTGCATGTGACCTTTAACATAACGTTAGGAATACTTCTTACCATCTTTTTTAAAAATATTCGTTATTTTTGTTACAATCTATTTGAGATTTGATTTTCCTTGACTTCGCTGTGTACTGGTCCGTGGTTGTGGTCTCCAGGAATTGTAGACATTATGTCGTTCAATGTTGAGACTGTTGCTCTGCAGTCTTTCTGACTGCATCTCCATGAGATCCATTCTCTCCTTCTCTCTTGTTCAGAATGAACATATACCGGTAACCATTTACACATAGATATCTTCAACCACGAAAAGTAGGAAGAAACTTCTAGTCTAACTGTGCATTTACCATAACTGAATTTAGGGAAATAATGGTGAAAACAGTCATTTCCAAATTTCTTATAGCAAGTTTCTGCAAGAAAATGAATAACTCACAACTTATGAATTGAGTGAACTAATTTATAAATCAAAGTGACTGTGTGAACTCACTAACATGGATTCAATCTCATACTGGTAGTCTGGTATACATGTCTTATTTCTTTCCTTGAGTGAACACGTTTTTTCATCTTGTAGAATCCCTTAAAACAACACCGTTGTCAAAACATCAACATCAAACGATTTTTACCTTGACCCAAATGCCTAACCTACCCTTTAGCTCGATAATGATACAAGAATGAATATGGGAACCCTTCTCTATGCATCGACAAGAATACCTATCAAACAAGCATGGAGTTGCTATTGGCGCATGCTAGGTTCTCATTGCAGGTTTTAACATTTTCAAACGTATATAATTGTCACCACAGCGACAAACCTATTTTACAGTTTAGTAGAAAACCTAACAGAAGCATCCAACCTGACCTTACAATGAGCGGTGTGATAATTCAAGACATAAATAATCACAAGCATCTAGACTTGACCCTTCAAAATAACTGTAACTGGGATATTAACATAAAGTCTATTGGCTGGCTTATTATGAAATTAATGTCTTGTCTAAACTGGAATCTTTCAACTGAATATTTGTCTCTGGAATCATCTGTGAGCTTGTGGGCTGATTTCTCTTGATCTATAATGAATGTTTTATTAAAACATTCTGTAATGTACTTCTTGTAAATGATCAAATTAATCTAGATACACTAATGATTCAGTAAAAAGGGAATTCATTTGAGTTTTTGCTTCAATCCGCACATGTTTGGACAACACAACCAATTTTCTATTGACACGTTCATGAGATTTTCGTGAATACGCCAATTGCATATACCGTTATTGAGCACAAACTCAAATGGCCTCTCCCTTGTGACAGGTGTTAATTGGAGAATGTATTCTACTACGGTCAGTTCCTATGAAGCAGAATTGTAAAAACATAGGGTGATTACCTCCAAGACCTGGTGATCTCGAACAAAGGCCAGTTAATGTTTTAACAGGCACAAGGTTGATAATGAAAAGTTGAAGGGGTAAAGAAATGAAATAAGCCTAAAGTGATATTTGACATTTTCATGACATAATATATTTGGTGTTGCCACAATTAATCATCACAAGATGAAACATATCATGTAAAATATATCTCAACTATCATTTGGAGGGCCTTTTCAACGATCTTCTTAAATCTGCCATGCCAACACCCCAAGTAATAATAAGATACATAATTTTCAAATCATGTATGACCTATTTCAACTTATTACTGGCCCTACGAAGGTCACCCAAAACTCTAGCACTTTGTTAGATATTGGTAGATTAGTAGATTAATCAATAACTTTGGCGAGACCGAAAACGTATCATTCCAGTAGACGTTGAGTGAACACATGAATCAGTATCATTATAATCTCAGTGAGCTAAACTCAGTAAATTAACTCAGTAAATTCGATCATATTTCAAAACAAGTTCAGAATTTTATAGCACCCAGTGTCTTAATCCCGTATAACAACACCGACGCAACATGAACGAGATTATACTGTAATAACAAAATCCTACTTCACGGGAATACCCAATTACGCCATGGCACGGGTTCACTTTTATGGCATGTAATACACTCAGTCAGTCAGTATATCTTGTACACTGTTATATAGTCCATATAGCGTAGGTGTATGGAATTTGTATTCATCTACCTAACATTGAGAGGGGGAAAAATTAAACATATTTGCGCTTTGTGGATAACAACTAAAACATACACTTGAAACTGACTTTTGAAAATACTAGCGGTAAATAGAACAGTCAATATCAATTGTTGACACATAGAACAAGAAGAATGCAGATGAGTGAAGTTAAACAAATATATAGAATTGGTTCCTAGTTGGTCGCATAAGTCGGCTTAATAGTAAACACTTACCCTAAACATAATCCCAACTTTAAAAATGTATCACTTCACGCTGAGGAGACGAGTAGCATTGATATCAAGCACAAAGGGATAATATGAAAATATGGCTTATTCCTGCAGTTTTCATGAATAAATATGTCACATGCAAGATACATTATGTATATCAACAATAAGAACTCTAACAGATCAAAAGATTCGTGAAATAGTTCAGCCTATACACTCATGGGCCGGGGATCCTTTGGAAAAAAGAGAAATTGAAAGAAGTAGTGGTAAAATCCTTCCTAAATTTCCAAAAATTTCCAAGCCTTGGAAACATCATCTTTCCAATTTTGGAAATTTTTGGAAATATGATATTTCCAAATTGGAAATTTTGGGAAATCACCATTTTTTTTCTTGTGACAGACAAGGTGTCGACTATATCCCCCCGCATTACATGCCAGGTGGATAAAAATGTCTTTGGACAGATGGAATTCGACTATACACACACTCAACCTTTTATGTTTGGGGTATAATAATGGGAATTGACATAGTTAAATAGGTTGTATATATTTGTTGTCAGTTGATGTATGTTCAATGGGGATTAAAAATAGTAATAGGAATTAAATTGCACATAGACATGCCATGGTTACAAGATAATTAGCCTTTGGAATCAAATGTTCTTCCACACAAAGGTTGTAAAAATAAAACAGTTGGTTTGACAGTAACATCAAGCATCTGAGATTTCAGCCTTATGGGGAAGACACTCACTTTAAATTAAGTAGGCTAACTTACCGCATCTTGAGTGGAAATTGGCTTCCGTTTTTCAAACACATCTTCAAGCAGCTGGTGAAACACAAGATCACACTCAACTGGGTCTCCAGAGTTAATGTAAGGCTTGATAAACAATCGTTTCTGCAAGCATAGATTGATTTTATGATAGATTTGTATAATAATAAAATTAGCAAATATATTGATACAGTGCTGTAGCTCACCCTTTATACATAGGAAGATACATACAAGAGATAGCCACATAACAGATAGCCACATAATACAAGAGTCATCAGAAGATGACAAATCCCCTTGGCCCCAACAAATTTTAACAAGAGTCATCAGAAGATGACATATCCCCCCGGCCCCCACATCTTTGAAAGAACAAATCATCTGACAGTTACTTAAAGTCCAGCTTGATTTTAGACTAAGTGCAAATCGTTTCCATGGAAATCATGAAAAAAGTAAATGACAAAAATCTGCAAATAGCAAAAGGCACCACTTTGGGATCTGCCTCACATATCTGCAAAGTTTTGCTGAAAGATATTAAGAAGTTTTAGCGTTGTGCTCCGGAAACAAAACCCATCCCTTCCTTTTTGAGACTAAGTTCGAATCATTTCCATGGAAACCGAGAAAATAATAAATCACAAATATCTGCAAATAGCAAAAGGCACCACTTAAGGTTCTGTTTCATATATCTACCAAGTTTTGTTGAAAAATATTGAAAGGTTCTTGAGTTACGCTCCGGAAACGAAGCCCACCCCTCACTTTTGGGACTAAGTCCAAATCGTTTCCATGGAAACCGGGAAAAATAAAAATGAAAAAAATCGGCAAATAGCAAAAGGCAACACTTAAGGTTCTGTTTGATATATCTACCAAGTCTTGTTGAAAAATATTGAACGGTTCTTGAGTTATGCTCCGGAAACGAAGCCCACCCCTCACTTTTGGGACTAAGTCCGAATCGTTTCCATGGAAACCGGGAAAATTAAAAATGCCAAAAATCGGCAAATAGCAAAAGGCACCACTTTAGGATCTGTTTGATATATCTATCAAGTTTTGTTGAAAAATATTGAATGGTTCTTGAGTTATGCTCCGGAAACGAAAGCAATCCTTACTTTTTGAGACTAAGTTCAAAATGTTTCCATGGAAACCGGGAAAAATAAAAATGCCAAAAATCGGCAAATAGCAAAAGGCACCACTTAAGGTTCTGTTTCATACATCTACCAAGTTTTGTTGAAAAATATTGAACGGTTCTTGAGTTATGCTCTGGAAACGAAGCCCACCCCTCACTTTTGGGACTAAGTCCGAATCGTTTCCATGGAAACCGGGAAAAATAATAATGCCAAAAATCTGTGAAATGCAAAAGGCACCACTTTAGGATCTGTTTGATATATCTACCAAGTTTTGTTGAAAAATATTGAACGGTTCTTGAGTTATGCTCCGGAAACGAAGCCCACCCTTCTTTAAGACTAAGTCCAAAACGTTTCCATGGAAACCGAGAAAATTAAAAATGACAATTATCTGTAAATAGCAAAAGGCACCACCTTAGGTTATTTTTGACATATCTACCAATTTTGGTTAAAAAATATCGAACGGTCTTTGAGTTATGGTCCGGAAACAAAATGATTACGGACGGACGGACGGACAGACGGACGAGGCGACGACTATATCCCACCGCATTATATGCCGGTGGGATAATAAACAAATCATCTGACAGTTACTTTAAATCATGAAAACAAGAGTCATCAGCCCCCACATCTTTGAAAGAACAAATCATCTGACAGTTACTTAAAGTCCAGCTTGATTTTAGACTAAGTGCAAATCGTTTCCATGGAAACCGAGAAAAATAAAAATGACAAATATCTGCAAATAGCAAAAGGCACCACTTTGGGATCTGCCTCACATATCTGCAAAGTTTTGCTGAAAAATATCGAGAAGTTTTCGAGTTGTGCTCTGGAAATGAAGCCCACCCCTTCCTTTTGAGACTAAGTCCGAATCGTTTCCATGCAAACCGGGAAAAATAAAAATGCCAAAAATTTGCAAATAGCAAAACGCTATACTTAAGGTTCTGTTTGATATATCTACCAAGTTTTGCTGAAAGATATTAAGAAGTTTTTGAGTTGTGCTCTGGAAACGAAGCCCACCCCTCCCTTTTGAGACTAAGTCCAAATCGTTTCCATGGAAACCGGGAAAAATAAAAATGCCAAAAATTTGCAAATAGCAAAACGCTATACTTAAGGTTCTGTTTGATATATCTACCAAGTTTTGCTGAAAGATATTAAGAAGTTTTTGAGTTGTGCTCTGGAAACGAAGCCCACCCCTCCCTTTTGAGACTAAGTCCAAATCGTTTCCATGGAAACCGAGAAAATAATAATCATAAAAGTCTGCAAATAGCAAAAGGTACCACTTTGGGATCTTCCTCACATATCTGCAAAGTTTTACTGAAAGATATTAAGAAGTTTTCGAGTTGTGCTCCTGAAACGAAGCCCACCCCTCACTTTTGGGACTAAGTACAATTTGTTTCCATGGAAACCGGGAAAAATAAAAATGCCAAAAATCTGGAAATAGCAAAAGGCACCACTTAAGGTTCTGTTTGATATATCTACCAAGTTTTGTTGAACAAAAACGGAAACGAAGCCCACCCCTCACTTTTGAGACTAAGTCCGAATCGTTTCCATGAAAACCGGGAAAAATAAAAATGCCATAAATCTGGAAAAACAAAAGGCACCACTTAAGGTTCTGTTTGATATATCTACCAAGTTTTGTTGAACAATATTTAACGGTTCTTGAGTTGTGCTCCGGAAACGAAGCCCACCCCTCACTTTTGAGACTAAGTCCGAATCGTTTCCATGAAAACCGGGAAAAATAAAAATGTCATAAATCTGGAAAAACAAAAGGCACCACTTAAGGTTCTATTTGATATATCTACCAAGTCTTGTTGAACAATATTGAACGGTTCTTGAGTTATGCTTCGGAAACAAAGCCCATCCCTCTTTAAGACTAAGTCCAAAATGTTTCCATGGAAACCGAGAAAAATAAAAATGACAATAATCTGTAAATAGCAAAAGGCACCACCTTAGGTTATGTCTGACATATCTACCAATTTTTGTTGAAAAATATCGAACGGTCTTTGAGTTATGCTCCGGAAACAAAATGATTACCGACGGACGAGGCGACGACTATACCCCCCGCATTACATGCCGTGGGGATAAAAAGCAAGACAGGTAGACTTTGGATAGAATATTTGGAACAAGTGTCATTGATTCAGCAGTTCATTTGCGTGGAGCGTACAGGAGACTGGAATCTACATCTGCTGTCTGTCAGCAAGATGATTTCCATATTCCATGCTGCTGGTCATCTTGCCTATGCCAAATCTGCACGTCTGTATCTGGAAGAAATGAAATACCTGAAGGGCATGTCACCAGATCAGTTCAAGGCCTACACAGAACAAGGGTACTTCACCATCCGTAGAACTGACAAATTCTGGAGTGGCAACTTCACAGACCAAGTGATCGAGCAAGATTTGATTCGACTCCTGAAGATCTCTGGTGGCATGGCTCATGGTCGTGGTATAACTGACAGCACACTCGCCAAATGGGTCCATGCAATGCCTCAGTGCATACCAATATGTGATGCTTCAGGGAGGTTCACAGGAGTGCACAGCCAAACATCTGAGCAACATGTTGACCTCCATTTATGTAACATCGTGAGAGACAACAAGGACTATGAAACATTCATTGGCTGAAAGATCATTCTCCTTTCTCATATGAAGAGCATGAGTCGCACATCTGCATAGCATGTGATGTTGCAGCTGGCAAATCAGTAAACGCAGACAAATCAGTTTCTATAGGAATGAAGGCAGCTTCAGCAGTGACAGGTCAGATGTTTGCTGACATAAAGTTGAAGCGCAAAGATAGGGTGATAAGCATCAGTGAGGAAAAGAATCAAATCAAAATCAGAAGGGAGCCAGTCCAAGTAGACTGCTATTCATGCGAGTCACCTGTGTGATAGAGGATAAGTCAGAGATGAAGTTGTACCTACTTCATGAATTTCCCAGGCAACCACCGGCCTTGTTTGACAAAGGCATGATGCAAAAGAATATGAAGAGTATTTTGGCTAATTAACTGAAATCACAAGTCCATCCAAAGTTTGCTTTGGCCCACGGATGCTGCATACAGCCAGATATGTGACAGCAATATGTCCTTTGTGCTTTAATATTATCGTTCAGCATCTTCAGTGGTGTTTGATGGATATGGCAGTGCGTGTTCCACAAAATCTGCTGAACAGAGTCGACGGGCTCAGCTGAACATATCATCTGAAATCATTTTTGAGCCAAACATGAAAGCAACAACTTCATCAAAACCTTTTCTGAGCAACAAGAAGAACAAAGGTCGCTTCATAACATTATTGTAGGGAAGACTTGCCAGAGAAGGTTTAGCAGTGCAACAGAGCCCTGCTGATGTTGACTGGTTGATTGCTTCAACTGTAATGAACAAGGCCAGAGACAACCAGTCACCTGTCGTTGTCGTGGGGAACGACACAGACCTGTTGATTGCACAAGCCACAAATGACATGGATCATCACATGTTATTTGGAAGGGCCCCCGTGCAGATGTACAGCATTTCCGAAATACAGAAAACCATGCCCAATATCAGACAGCATCTGATGTTCGTTCATCCAATAACTGGCTGTGATGCAGCATCAGCCATCTACAATCAGGGGCAAAAGAAAGCTCTTGCTCTATTCCAGGAGAGGTCTAATTGGGATTGCTTGGATGTTTTCCTTCAATCTGGCAGTTCAAATGAAGACATTGCACAAGTTGGAGAGATGTTCATGCTTCAACTCTATGGAGCTGTGGACTCAACATCACTGGACGAACATCGCTACAACATGTACTTCAAGTCCATTCATCAAGCCTCTGTGTCCTCTTCAGGTTTCAAACTGGAATCACTTCCCCCAACTTCAGCAGCCGCTAAATTCCACAGCTACCGAGTGTACCATACGGCTCAGCAATTGCAAGGGAATAAGCTTTCATCATCAGAGTGGGGATGGCAATTCAAAGATGGGGTCCTTGTTCCTATTGAGACAGATAGAGCAATTGCTCCAGAGAAAGTCTTGAAGATGATATCTTGTGGATGCAAGTT